AAAGTGGGAAATGAATTAAGAGGCAAAGTGGGAGAAGTGGCGGAAGGTCATGGGTCACTTAAAAGCGAGCTTAAAAGTGTAAAATTCTCGCAGCATCTTTACGCGGTCCAACTTGTTTTTTTTTTTTCTTTCAAAGAGCGAGTAGCGACGACGCTCTCTCGGTCGCGAACAAACTCTGAATGACGCCTGATCACCGGATAGTGCTTCTTGTTCTCTCTCGTCTCTATATGAGGAGTCTATATGGCTATGGGGCTCGTCCCTTGTCAGAGAAAGAGAGAAAGATTTGAAAACAAAAAAAAAGGGAGAAAAAGAGACAGATTTTGAAAAAAAGGAGATAGATAAAGAAAGAGAGGAAGTATATTAAAAGGCTAAATATAAAGACATATACAGAGAGAGAAAGAGAATTTGAGAGCCAAGGGTTTTTAAAGGGGCGTGGAGAATATATATGCCAAAATGAAAGAGTGAACACGAACAAATGTAGAATATAAGCACGTGCGTGTTTCACAAAGAGAACCAGTCGAACAACCCGGATAACCACTAATAATCACCCTTCCCACAGAAAAGAGAGAGAGAAAACCATTCGGGTTATTTCCCTCCGTTATACACGATTTCCTCATTTTATTGGACTTTGTCAGATTTTCATTATCCACTTAATGATAAACTCATGCTCTGAATATTGATTGGTTCTAATTTGATTTAATAATCCATTTTTTTTTTATCTGAATTAAAAAAATAAAATTTCGCACGGAAAAGACAAATAAAAATTTTGAATGGAAAACTAGGAATTCCCAAAACAAATCCCGTGCAGAAATTTTGCCAGGGCCCAGATCGGGGCCGAATCAGGCTGCCCTATTAGGGAATGAAACGCCACACCTGATCAGGCCCAAATCAGGGCAACCAGAAAATGGTGATTTCCCAATCAGGACCACATATCAGGCGTGGGGTTTCATTCCCTAATTGGGCAGTCTGATCCGGTCCCCACCCGGGTAGAAATTTTGTCATGGTCCAAACCTGGGCCAAATATGGCAATTTCTACACGAGTATCTAGGCCCTGGCAAAATTTCTACTAGGGCCCTGGTAGGACAATTTCTACACGGGTGTATATAAAATCCCACTTGCAAGGACCATGAATTCTCTCGTATGAAAACATGTTTCGAGGGAGAGAGAGAGAGAGAGAAAGAAAAGGTGAAAAAAATTAGCTAGAAAACGCTGGGTCGAACGCGAACAACAGGGCACCGCGCAAAACGGGTTAAACAAGATTCTATTCTCTTTATTATTCTCCTCGCTTTCTCATAGAATTCACACATATAACACAATATGCTACGTCAACCTGAGAACTGAGAAAAAAAAGTGTTATACCCTTTTTTTCATGCATTTAGAAAAATCTTAATTTTCACATGTTTTTCTTTTATTTTTTTTTATCTATATAAAATTATAAACACCTTCCCTGAAAAATATATTTTAATTAAAATTTTGTTAAACACTTATTTTTGTTAATATATATAATTCCAAGAATAACGATTATTATTTATAAATGACGAACGTGCGCGCAATGTATTCTCTTATTTTTGCACCATTATACATAAGCACGCATTTTACTTTTCACTAATCATTTAAAAGATTAGTTGGAATCACTCAAATGGTAATAAGATAAATAATGTTTTACTTCAAAGAACTGATTGTGCTATAGAATTTTCCTGAGCGAAATATATTATATTTGGCGCAAAGTGAAATAATAATAGTTGTTCTACTATATAATAAAGTGTCATTTTAATTAATTAGTTTCACACTTTTTATTGACAAATATTAATTATTGTTCCTTAGAAAAATTTTCTATTACATTATTTAATAGAGGAAAATAGTTTTTCAAAAAAAAATTAAACATAAATATTTTACTGTATGTAATTTTCACTATACAAATTTCGTCGAACATATGGTTTAAAAGCATCATTTCACCTTTCACAGTTTGCTCTAGTGCGAAGGGTAATCTGTTTGCAGCAGGATATAATTCATTCATTTTTCGAAGGGGGCAGTGTCCTTTCAAACTGGTTCCAATCTGTTATATGTCTCTCTTTCTCTCTCTCACTCTCTTTCGATCAAAATTATTAAGTATAAAATCCTCAATAATAATTTTTTTTCCAGACATTTCAAATTCGCGAGGTAAAATTAATTTTTATAAAAGACGTGCGCGAGAATTACACTGGCTTCGATTTTTATCATTTTGTTTACATTTTATTGTGTATGAGTTATATGTTTAATAATAAAAAAAAATTTCTACAACATGCATACGAAATCATAAATCTCTCGTCAAAAGTTTACAGCTTCGTAAATATATCTCATATACGATTCAATTGCACAAACTATAAAAAAATTTTTAATTTTAATATTTATAACATTTTAAATTTTAAATTTATGACTATTTAAATTTTCAATGTAAATTGAATAATTAATAATTAATAATTATTAAATATTAATTAAAATAATTTTTTAACTTTCAATATTAATATCAGTGAACTTAAAAAATGTATGTAAATATAAACTTGCTATACATATATTGATATTGTAAAATTATGTCTATTGTTAACAAGTGCATTTATCTTGCAAAAATATATGATTGAAAATTTGTAATATAAACACATCTACTCCGCGAGAGAGTGGGCGAGGCTTTACCGGAAGAGGAGAAACGTCATAATGAGGTCATAAAACATAGAAAAAATTAATACCAACTCTCAACGTTAATGGCATCTCAACTTTATTAATTTTCTACTTGTCATATAAATAATATGATTCTTTTTATTATATATATACACACACTTTAATGTTCACTAAGCCATTAAAATATACTGAAATAACTTTTAAATTATTATTATTATATAAAATAAAAATTAATAAAATAAAAACAACATAAATAATTGTAAAAAAAATAAATGTATTTGACTGTAAATTCAACAAATGAGAGCAATTTGTTTATTTCGTGGTATTATAAGAAAGAATCATAATAGTTGATGAGTGTCAACTGATGCATCGACCGCGAGCTCGAAAAATTCTCTTACTCTTAATTAAAACGATTACATTCCTCATTTATATACTTGGAAACACCTGGGAATAATTCCGAGAATCTATAAGAATGTATATATGTGAACATGCAATGTATTTATGCAGATTTATGTATAGCTGCATTAAATGCGAAAAAACACTTACAAATATATTGTACAATTGTCCAATATAGCATTTGTATTCATATCTCACTTATTTAAAATGTGCGTGACTACAGCACGTGCTTGCATAGAGAAATCAGTCTTTAAAAAAAAAATTTCTTTTTTACAAAAATCTTTTATTTACAAATAATATAAGTAATCAACTTAAAAATTAATTTCTTATATTTTTTTTATAAAAAAAAATTGTAAAAATCAAATCGAAGATTTTGTGTAATAATTATAAAATAGCTAATTCGTAAATCTAGATGAAACTGGTATCTAATTTTGTGGTCTCTATTCTTACTTTTAAACAGGAAATTTACATTATCTAGCGTTTCCGTAGTAATTTTATTTTGCGAGTGATCTAATGTTTCATCAAGCATACATTTCTCTACTTAGCCGTTATACTGTTAGAAGGTTCTTTCAATTTTTCATTTTCAATAGACAAATATTAATAAGATAATAAAAAATATATAACTCATGTATTATATGGGATTTAGAGTCTGATGTATAATAAAAAACTTTTCATCTAATGGAACATTATTTCCGCAAAAAAAATGTTGAAGTTTTTTTTTAAGGGACACGAAGAAAAATAATTTGAAAAAAGGGGAAAAAACATAAAGGTAAAGTTATAAAATCGTCAAAGAGCATACGTCTCAAGTGGTGTCTACAGTTTTTCAAACAAAAGTGTCTGCTGCCTCTGGTGATGAACACGATTTTAATTGCAAAAAAAAAAATTTCAAGTTCTTTAATATTCAAGGTATATTTTCATCGAAAAATAGGCGTTTTTATATTTAACAAAAATCAACAAAAATATTTATTAAAAATTAACTTAAATATATAATAATTATAATTATTATTATATATTATAATTATAATACTATTAAGATCACGATTATTTAATATTCAATTTTAAAAATGTGCTTCGTCAAATATAATATTCTCCCTATAAATAATAAATTATTATTTTTTTAATTATAAAAAAATAAATTTTAATCAAATGATAATTTGCCCACATGTTTAGTTTCTAGTCTCACCGCACCTTTTACTATTTAAGGGTAATACAGAAATTTAAGAAGATAACACAGTTTTCTACTCTTTACCCAGTCGGTAAAATGAATCACACTTACTACCCGTTTTTCAGAGCCGCTGATTACGAATTCGATATTTTATTTTCATTTCAAAAAATTTCAATTCTAGCCTATAGCTTGAAATACTATGAAACACTAATAAATCTTAAAATAGGAATTAATTTCTTAAATTGAGAAATAATTCCTTAACTGATTGGATAGAAATAAAAGAATAGGTAAACTTTATTATTTCATAGGACCATAGAAATGTAATAGAAGAGTTTTCAAATAGTTAGTAAGAAAATCATTTTTATAATTAACTTTGCACTAAGAATCCTAGAATTTTTCGAATAACCCAGTTCTACTTCGTTAGAGTTATAAGCTAATTTTTCCAGACGTAAGTTTTTAATTTATTAATAAAAAAAAATTAAAAAGTCTAAAATATTACATAAAAATTTATATTAAAATTCATGAAGATAAAATAATTTACTTCAACGCAGACTTGACCTTAGAATAATTCCTCATCAGGAAAACCAAAAAAATTCCCCTTTGATATATTAATTTTTAAATTATATTTTATTTTTTATTCTTTACAAAAGATTTGTAATAACATTGTATATAATTTGTCAAGTGTTTAATTAAGTCACGTTTCTCATTCATTATTCGCGATTTAAAGATCAAACACAATTTTTAAAAATAGAAGTCTTTTGAATAAAAAAAAAATGTTTTTTTTAATTGTTAAGTAAATCACCTCTGTATATATTATTCATTTTTTTGATGACAATCATTATTCTTATCTAAATACGATTAATTTAAAACAATCAAGGTGGATACATTTGTCTTCAGTTTAATAAAAGTAATTGTCAAGTGCTGACACGTTTTATATATTCTTGAGCTGTTAAGTCATTTTGAAGAAATTAATTTCTTTTTATATTGTGTGCTTCAAATTTAAAAGAGGTAAGACAATTTCTTTACATTGATTTAATGACACGAATAAAATTTACTTTTAATTAACTTCAAAGAGGAATTTTTTATTTCTCACTATGTAAATCTTTACCTATCTTATCTGATCAATTATGATCAATGAATATTGTTTCATTATTGTCAGTTAATTACTGTTTTTCTATTTATTACCGTTTTTTATATTTCTTCGATTAAAAATAATTTATATCAATTTTTAGGAAACATGCGTTTTGTAATTTCGCTTTTGGTAATGGTATTTTCCATTGTAATGATCAAAGGAATGTGTCCATGTCCAAGAAATTACGAACCTATTTGCGTCAGTGATGGAAACAAATTCTCCAAATACAACAACAGATGCCTATTAAATTGTGCCGTAAGAGAAGGAGAATTTCTAGGTTTTTATCAATATTTATATATTACTAACAGATAAAATATTCATATTTTTATAATTACAAAATTTTTCTCACTCTAAAATTCTTTAGTTAAACAAAAATTTATCTTTTATTCAAATAAATATTTTTTTTCAATATCAAAAATATACATTTTTGAATCAAAAAAAGTTGCGTCAATTTGTTTGTCTATTATCATGTCGCATCATTCAATCAAAAATTTTAATCTCATTTTATGAATCAAACAAAACAATATCAATCATTGTCAAATAATGATAAAATCAATACTTTTTTCCGGATTTTCATTTTTCATAAAAACTTTCTTAGATAAAAAAAAATTAATTACTTGTTTATATCCTTTTTCAGGTAAAATAATAAAAGAAGTCAATCCTAAATATTGCGTAGATTATGCACGTTACCAAGATGGCTATGATTATACATTATATTATAAATAGTAATTGAAATAATTAATATTCATTTAATTATAAATATTTGTAAAATTAAATATATATGTAAGAATTACTTGACTATATATTATAAAATAAATATATTTATATTTGTATCAAATAATTATGGTTTCAAATAGTTTTTTGGATTCAAAATAAAAATTATTTGGTTCAAGTATAAATATTTATTTGAACAAAATAAATTGTCTTTATAATGTTATAGTAAAGTATCTACAATATTATATACAACTAGAAAAAAGTTTTTGTTGTTTCCAACAACATTTTTATATAACAGATAAAGTTTTATTAAAAAAACAAATTTCTTTACATCAAAGAAATAAATCTTTTCTTTAAAGAATCAAAAACTTTTTTCTTATCGAAATCTGATAGAAATTTTGTTGATTAAATGATTTATAGTAAATCAAATGTAATAATAAATAAATCATATAAATAATTTTTTTTTTTTTTGACAAAATATCATTGATATTCCTATAAATGTGTGTTATATTAATATAAAACGATAGTCATCACGTCATCAAGATATATAATCAAACTACAATAATCGCTTATGTTCCGCAGTTAACAATTTCAGGAATGCAACATAATACCGTTGTTGCAATTGAGTGCGTTGTAACTTTTTCGCAGTATATATATGCAATGTCCATATACTTGCGCCCAGTGATTTATCTAACGGTGTAAAATAACTTTTTAAAAGAGAGAAAATTACAAAATTTTTCTATAAAATATATCGAGGACTAATTTTCAATTATTAGATGAAAATAAGAGATAAAATCGCTTCACGATTATTGCAATTGAAAATATAAATCCCTATACCATAACAGAAATTGATTAATACGATAAAAAAGGGCTGAGCAATAACCTATATAAAAAAATTTTCTAATAAAAGAAGAAAATATTTTAAATTTTTATTTATTGGTAATACTATTTGTAAATTTAGTTTAATCTTTTTTTCTTGTAAAAAAGCATACTATCCTGAATACATTGAAAATTTGAAAAAGAGAATATTTCGAGAAAAAAAAAATTATTGGAGAAAAAGATTTTAATTTTTCAAGTGAGAGTGTCATCTGTCTACGGTAATTAAACGAGAGTAAAGAGAATCGGATCGACTGGTCGATGGCCTTGGGCAACCTTGCATACTATACGGAGCTTCTTGGATCACAGCACTTGATCGTTAACTGCTTCAATCGACTTTCCAAGATCGCGACACTAAATTTATGGGAACACTTGTGTACTATAGTACTGACCTTGAATTACCAAGCAGCATCATTGAAAAAAATCTTAAGCCCTTTATACACTCCATATATTTACTAACACGATTAATATACTTTTTCTTTTTTTAATTATATACTCCACGTGTCATCTCAGGATACAACTCTTAAAGCAAATTTCATATCTTCAACACTAATTATATATACACTTCTAGAAAATTTTATTCGATATATAATTAAACTTATGTACCTGTAATTGAGATACTTTGTATATATAATGACTAAAAAAATTTTCAAATACACGAATTCCAATTAACATAATGTATTAATTAACTATAAATAATCAACTAATTATACCAATATTCCTATACCATTTTTCCAGAAAAATAATTCTTTTAATTAAAAATATATATATAATTTAAATATTTACAGATCATAAACGGAGAATAATTAAATTAATTAATTAAAGTATTTAATTTACAAGAGCAAAATTTTCGTATCCCGTTACGATAAATTTTAAACGTGTCATTTGTTACTTGTGTATGAACGTCTACGTTAATATACAGTGAAAATCATCTTGCGAAACGAATTGCAAATTGTCTGTATGAGCATAATGTGTAATCAACATTTGTGGCTTCAATTAAGTCGACAGGTTGATATTTTATCCCAACTAACCAATATATAATTATTATTATTTATTGCCTTTTTTATTCAACTTTCTTAAACAATGAATTAATTTTTTTTAATCGTTTATTTTAATAAAACATTAGTGAAACCTGGTTAAGTGATATCAATAGACGTCTCACTTAAGGAGGTTTCAGTGTATTATTATTATTATTTACTCTCAATTTTTTTCATTTTTGTGTTTAAAAAAATTTTTTTAGACTTTATAAACAACCTACAAATCTTTTCTTTATTTGTTACGTGATGTACATTCTCAACGTAACAAATATGTATTTTTAAAGTGATTTTTTTTGGGAATAGAAAATTTGCTATTAAACATATGTAAAGAGATTTTTTTAACGGTCGATGTTAAAAGTTATATTTTCATTTCCATAACACGTTATTGGCGAGTGATTACTATCTTTGAATAAACATTGACACGCATTGTGTGCATACGGAGGCGTCAATATATACTCGCGAAAATGGTAATCAAACGCATCTGCCGCGCCCACGGATTTTCACACACACATTTTTCCCGTCCCTTGATTGTTAAATCTGATAATAGAGGTGGTTAGAGTAGCCATTTATTTAAAAAAAAGAATCCCTTGACATCCGGTGTAAAATTAAATTTTAATTGCCACATAATTAAAAAAAAATTCAAATCTTATTTTTATAATTAAAATATATAAAATTGAAAATAGCAATTCAATTTTTATATCATTTGCTTTATTTATATTATATTATAAAATTTTTTTTTAAATGTTAAAAATGCAAATTGAATTCTGAATCGTATTATGTATTATAGTTTTTTGTAGGTTTACGATCGTATTTTTCACGCGACAAACGATAAGTCAATTAAGTTACTGAAGTCAATTTTACAGAAAGAAAGTGGGTTTACAAGTTTTCGTTATGGCTTGTTATCGTGATATAGTTGGTCGTATTATTCCTGCGCGCATATTTTACTAATCATATACATATATGTGTTACGCGGGTAATTATTGTAACACAAAACTATAATCGTCATTTCTCGTTCCTTTTACTTTTTTTAAGTCAAATTGTTTTACGAAACAATTGAAAAAACAGTTTTAATTCTTTTCGTTTCTAAACCAGAGTACCAATTATCTTATTTTTACCAACCAATTCAATTGGAAAAAAATGGAATTTTTATAGGAAATGAAATCAATTTTTGTTGCATTTAAATAATAGAGTATAAATTTTATGAGGCATGTTATTAATTCTATGTACTAAATTTAACTCATTTTTTACCATTGCTTGAAACTACAATTAATTAAAAACTATATTATTTGTAATCTAATTCTTTTATACAGTGGAAAACCTTTGTAAATTGAACTATATAGGTTCAACTGTATTAAAATTTTCCAATTTCACCAAAAACATATCCTATTTTTTCCTCGTTTACTTATGTCACTGTTTCTTCGTTTCTCAATATATATAAAGTACATGAACCACATTCCTGCATCGGAAACAAATGCTGAAAATTGACCATTTAAACGAGCTCAAAACAAAAAGTTGTCTGCGAATATAAGCTGACCGGAATACTTTCGCGTTTTAAAGTACCACCTATAAGGTTTAAACTTCAAGTATACAAGTTCTTTTGGTATTTCCTCTAATGTATAAATATACATATATACATATATATAAGATTGAACAAGAGCTTTTCAGATATAAAGGAGGAAGAAATTTATATTCAATAGACAAGAAGAAAGTAAATAAATGGAAAATATCCTTTTTATACATAAGAGTCTCGAAACAATATGTGCCACGTAATATTAAAATTTCCACTAATTATATTTAAATATCTATCATAGAAGTGAAATTTATCATAAATGGGAACTCACGTTTGCAACTATATTCAAATTGGGTATAAGTCAAATTATCAGCATTATTTCAAATCTGAAAATCACTACTGAATGATTTTGCATGAGAAAGCATTTGAAATAGAATAGAAAATCTTTTGCCCCGTCAATATAGTTAGAAAGTTAAATATATACTAATTTAAAAAAAAAAACCCTAAATGATTTTTTATTCATGAGAAAAAAAAAAATATATTTATTTACGTAATTTACTGTCTATATATGTATCAAGATATGCAAATATACAGAGCTTTAAAACACGTGCAAAACCCATAATACCGCAGGTGTGTAAAATGCTATATTTGCGCAAATTTATTTATATCGATGATAAAAGTAGAAATAAATCGACAAATAATAAAAATTAAATTTTAAATATAAAATTACTGTTTGTATTAACGATAATTTTATTAAATATTAACTATTTTGCAACAAAATAAACAGATTTCGCAGAAGAAAATTATTTTTGATTGAAACATATTTTAAGGTGTGATTATTTTTAAAAATTTTATGCGTTGAAATATTTTTCTTCGCATTCAATTTTTTTTATACTTGGAATACTTTCAAGGACTTTGCAACTAAAAGATTAATGAAAGAGCAATAAAAAAAAACGTAATTTCACACATTTTACTACTTTCGCAAAGAGTGTGTCAGAAGATTTTGAGAACGCCTATTATTCGCACCGGTTTGTTGACCTTAAATCAACAAAATTCTACTCTAGCAGGTTCCGTTGAAGCGTAATAAAAAAAAAGCTGCATATATGCTGCAATTTGTTTGAGAAAAATTTATTTTTCTTTGACCCGCAGTTTGAACGATGTCTAGGTAGGAGAATTTTAATACTAGTCTAGTCATATTTGACACTATTTTTAGTTTATTGCTAAGCTATTATCCGCTCATAATCCACGGCTAAAAATATTATTTTATGGTAATTTCCAAGAATATCATTAACATACGAATAAAGAGAAAATAGGCAAAGTTGAAAAAAATTGCAGTAATACAAAAAAAAAGAAGGGAAAAAAAAATTATATTCTATTTTTAAGAATACCTCGAATAAAATTGTCTGTAAAGAATCAGGGACTGATATTTTGCTATATGAATTAGTTAAATTTTGGTAATTAATAAAAAATTTGTTTACTAATTCATTAGTAAAATTTAACTAATTCATGACAAATATTCAGTTAATGAAATATAGTTAAAATTTTTCACTAATTCAGATTTAGGGGAAAGGCATCTTTGGAAATATCTGGATTTGAAACTTTACGTATTTGCGGAATATTTGTGTTTAAAAACAAACGCTTCTCTTTGATCAATAGTTGTATGAGATTGCAGATGCCATTGAAGCATCATCACCTCTTGGTTCATATAGTATATACCTTTCCCCCGTGTATCGTGTAAGTGTCGAAACAGGTAGATGCTGATCTTCGCATTCGTAGAGAGCAAGTACCGCGGGGCATTAATGGAATTGCGAAATGAAATGTCAACCGAATATCTTGAGCCCTCTTGTTATTTGCCTCACTCGCCATTGGGTATAGAAAGTATACTTTGTTATTTGCAATAAGGTATTACCTTTAGCATTACATGCATCATGGTGCACTGCACAATGTCCCCAAGTTCTCATTATCTTCTGATTTATATATTTTTTTTTACAACAAAATGATTTATTAACATTTTTTTTTATTGAAATTTCACAAATAAAAATGAGAATTATGAAAATGGTAATGAAAATGATATTTGAATTTTATAACCTTGTGCTAATAAACAATTTCTTAATGATTAGACTTGTCATGTCTGTTTTGACGAATTTCTGTTTTAATATATATATTTGATCGAAAAACGACTTTTCACTTTCAATGAAGAAACCGGTTGATTACGGAAGTGCTTTCTTCTCTAGCTCCAGGGGATAAACTGCGGGGACTCTTGTGAGCAAACTTGTGTCAATCTTTTTTTTTCGATAATTTCCTTTTTGAAGTATTACGTGAATTATTATGTAAAACAATAATATGTTATGAGAAAAAAAAAATGTGAAAGTATTTAAAATACTTTTTGCGAAAATATGTCAATAATTTGAAGTTTTCTTTGATACAGTGAAAAATGCCGCCATTTTTGAACAATTTATATAGTTGTAGATAACAATAAATGCTGTGAGTTTTAATATAACTCAACAATGAAAGATGTTATAATATTTACTTAATGGTAGTTTCAAACAAAAAAAAAAATTGTTTTGGCAAAAGAATTTTGTTAACTGGAATTTTTTTTAATCCTCTTTTTTTTAATCCAAAACAAAAAATATGAATATTTTAATATGTGTGGAATCGAGATGATTGAGATTTAAAGTTTAAAAGCATAATCTTTCACCTTTAAAGTTCTACACTGTCTATTTTGTACATATACGTGGATATAGAATTCCCGCGCGAATGGGAGCGGTAAAATAATGTAAATCGATTTTACATCGCGGAGATATAAAACTAATAATTAATTTGTAATCAATTATCTAATTTAGAAATTACACTAAATTAGACATTGAAAACACGATTAAATTTACATAAGCAACGTTTGCGTGTAAATTCCCCGGGGAATTTAAAAAAAAATTTATATATATATTGCACAACAAATAATATGCATAGTAATCAGATTCACTGACCAGTATATTTCGACAATGATATTCACGAAATATATAATATTATATTATAATAAATTACTAAATAACTGAATAATAATAAGATAATAATAATAATAATAATAATAATAATAATAATAATAATTAATAATAAAATAATAATAATAATAATATAAATTGTAACCATGACCAATAAAGTTTGAAAATTTGATTGGAATATGATTATATATGAGTTGCGCGAGGATAAAATGCGCTCTGAATGAAAATAACACGCCCGTGAATAAATGAATCGATTTCATTGAGGAAAGGATTCATCTGTAATAAATATTACAGATTTATTGCGATTTGGCTATACATCAAGCGGTGATAACTCGACGATTATTTTACTCCTTTCATGTTTAGAATGTAATAATATACCGCACTGTCTGAGCCTGTTCTGTCTCTCGAAGGCTTTTCATTCCTTTTATTATATTATTTTACTTTTCTTTTATTTCTTCGTTTCTTTTCTTTTTTTTTGTCTCGAGCCGAGAGAACCTCGTTACGTGATATGGGTGCACGCACTTCGTAATGCTAATTCGCTCTCTTCTGAAAATTGCATGTTACATCGCGCGGTATTAACTTTCTTCGAAAAATTTGTTTCTTATAAAATTTTTTTTCCCCTTATCAAGATCAACGTTTAATGAATTATTTGGAATTGACTGTATTCACCTATTTTCCTATAAATTTAATAACCTATTTTTATATAGAAATCCAAAACAATTTTTTTTATTCGGAAAGCGAAAGTTAGAAATTCTTTTTTTTTTGGGGGAAAAGAAAATTAGAAATGTTTTTAATTTTTCCTGGATATGAAGCGATAAAATATATAATAAATGAATTGAGAATTATATGTATACTTCCTAGCATCATGTTCCGTGCGATATAAAAAATATATATTGATTGCTCGAGAAAGTATAATTTATACAAGTTAAATTATTGTATATATAGTTAGATAATTTCCACAATCATTAATAGCTTTTTTATTAACGGTGCATACTAACACGATTCAAATGATATCAATTCATTCATGTGGAGCGGATTTCACTAATAAAATGTCTTTAACCCAGATATGAATGAAAAATAAATGGGTTTTTAGGAGATGAATAATATGAATATTAATTAACTTGTAAATTACAAAATTACTAAACGACTTTTGAACTAATAATCAAAACAACTCACCCTATATCTGTTGAGTTTGTTATTCCTACGTACAATTGTTGATCCGGTAGAACAATTACTTTTTATAGAACTATCATCATCATGATTGATTTTATCTTGAATCAAATCACATTTCTCTCGGAGAATTATTGGTGATTTGGCGTCAAATTTTTCATTTATTATATTTTTCTTTCTTTCTGCATTGTCTACTTGATCATATTCACATGTCTTGTTAATCCAAGAATTATTATCATTGTTTGATTGTCTCTCAACTTTCTTGATATCAACGATTTCTCCATTACCATTTAAATTCTCAATGATTGGAGTGAGAGTTCTTAAAAAATTGTCATTTTTATTTAAACGACAATTTCCGAATTTATTATTATCATTATCATCATCATCATCATTTGAATCTTGCAAATTAACATTGATATTCTCCCCTTGAAGTTTAGCATTTCTCTCCAACATCTTTTCCTGAAGATTAAGAGCCAATTGCTTGATTCTCGGTGAGGCAAATACCGATTTTCGTGGTATTATATTTCCATGATTTTTCTGTAAAATAGGAGATGGCACTGATGGTTTTTCATAAATTATACCATTTTCCATTGGAAGATTTCCACCTCTGTTTGAGAAGGTCTTTTCCAGAGAATTGACATCACATTTATTCATTTCTTGACGAATTTGCTTTAATTTTGGCGAGACTGAATCAGATTTTCGATCTTTTTGAATGACATTCTGCCTCAACATACTTGGACGTCGAGAATTTCTTCTCTGCATCATTGGCGGTGAATAATCATCGTCATCAAAATATTCTTCATCTGGTGAAGTCTCCTCTTGCTCTTGAACCACATATAGTCGTATTTTGTACATTTTGTTTCACTTTTCTTGACTTGAAGATTATAATAATTCGGTATGATTAATCATAGAAAGTTGAGAGACTAATAAGATAGTAGAATTTAAATTATTCATTAATTTTTTTCAGATAATTGCAATTGTTCAATAGGGATGCGACCCTTTAGTAATTTTTGAAAAAACATTTTTTGTTGTTATCTGAAATATTATACACATTAAGAAATGTAGAAAAAACATTTAGACTGATATCAATCGAACAAATGGGAAAAAAACAAAATTTTTCTCAAATTAAAAGAGAAAATTTTTCCGTAATAAAAAGAAATATTTGCAAAACATCAGAATTGAGAAAGAACGATTTCTGAAACTATTATTATTATTACATAAAAAAAGTAACGATGTCCTTAGCTTTCTAATTGGATTCTTAAATATTATATGTATTCCAGAATGGTACTAAAATTCTTAAATAATTCCTAAACAATACTTAAGATAAATAATAAATATTATGATGAGCACCTTATAATGACATAACAACATGACAAATAGAATAATTAAATTAATTTGGAAACATTTTTCTGTATTTGAAAAATATTTAACACACCATGAAAAATTGAAATTAGGAAATACATAAATTGAAAAATGGGTTTTTAAATGTGATAAATACCATTCATATATGTACATAACTGCCTTTTAATCTTTGCTTGAGTGATTAGAAGATATTTACTATTATTATATGTGAGTAAAGTGTCTATAAAGGCACAAAAATAATATACACCCAAGCAAAATTCAAAGACAACCTTGGATTGATAAATGAGTTTCACAAGACGAAAGATTGAATGAATTCATGAAAAGAAAGGTTTTTATAACGTTCATATAGAATATATCCAAAGTATTTTCCTTACTGAGCGAAAAAAAATCGAAAAATTAAAAGAATAACGACAAGTATAGAATATTTATTATTCGTTTTAAATTTACTATGAAGTCAACACGTCATCTATAATTAATGTTTAAAACGTCTCTTTCATCTGATCTCGTTCTTGCATCGATAAAACTAGATCATGCGATGTGAATAATTAGCGCAATTTTATTGCACTCAATACCTTATATAATTAATAACAGAAATCTCGATAAATCGCATAAATTCTTCCTAAAATTTCTTTTTTTTCTTAATTCCCAAAGAAAAAAAAAGTATTCACATTTAATGGGTAAAAATATTGGCGGGAAAATGAGGCTAATCAAGAGAAATCTGAGTTTCTTTTCCAAAATTCTGAACATATTAAAATACAACCCAATTCATTTCAAGAATACAAATTGTTTAAACTTTCTTTGACAACGAGGGAGAGAGACATTGAACTACTGCCAGGAGGCGAAAAAAAAGTGAATCCTTCGTCACTTTTGCAACGTTCTCCTTTCCTTGAGGAGCACTGGAAATTAAATTGGAATGTATGTTATAACATATTCATTCTAGCCTTGGAAAGTATGCAAACGAGATATGTGAATGAAAAAAAATACTATATATAATTTAATCGAGTGCACCATTGTCACAAGTGATTAATTATGACACAATTACAAAACACTATTTGTAAATGTGCGATAACATTTAATTGTCATTTGACAGATTGAAATATTGCTCATTGACAGAAAACAAACAGGTTAACGTATTTAAATATTTTATAAAATATAATTCTGACACTAATAAAGATATATTAAAATACTGTCACTTTTTTTTAAATTACTTTTTTTAAACATTTTGAGTGTCAAGGAAAAATAGTAATTTTTTTGTCCATTACTTTCCGTTACAATAAATTACAATCAATAAAAAGAAGAGGGAATTTTTTTTTTGCAAATCAGAATAAGTGAACCGAAACCGTTAAAATTTGCATCTCCGTTTCTTCACAACGATTCGTAATATATTTCTTTTATTATAGATATCTAATTGTATATAAACGTGTGCACGTCACGCTAAGTGGACGTGTAATACTAATAAAAACAAATAAAAAGAAAGATGCCATAAAACAGGGTGTTTCAAAGGAAGACAAAAAAATTGAGATTACCTAGATATGAAATGAAACGTGTTTCTATTGACACGTTCACCTAGAATAAATTCCCTAAGGTCAAATTCTAAATCATTTTTATTTACTTGATTCAAGTTTATTGAAAACAAATTTTTCATAATTTTACATTTTAATATTGTTGGATCAATAAAAAAAAGTTTGATTAATCAAAATGTTGTCAATTGTTCTCAACATCAGTTTTACAAAAAAATCAATATCGATTTGCCCTTGTAAAAGTGAAATTTATTATAATTTTAAAAGTATTACAACAAACGACTTAATCATTTAAAAGTAAAATACGTATTATGAATAAATGTATAAAAAAAAGAATAAGAAGACAATGGAGGAATAGTGTCTAGTACAACCCACGTGTAAAACAAATGAGCGCGCAGGTGGTTCCTGCTGTATAAAAATATAAAATTTTTGCTTCCAAAAGACATGAGTAAAATGAAGAAATCATTGTCTATTGTCCGGTTTCACAATTTAAATAATATAATATAATTTGAAATCGGGAGCTATGTCATGTTAATTGCCATTGAAGTCTACAAATGTATGACTTTACAAGCATTGCAATTGTGAAAGTGAGAAAATATCGAGTATGTGTTGCGAATACCGCCGAGCAAAGCACGTGGCTATAACCTTATTAGACTGCCGGGCGTGACAAACATTCCACAAATATATATATATATATATATATATATATATATATATATATATATAAATTAATAATATCACAAAAAACTATTTTTCTATTTTGAAAACAAAACTTAATTTTTAAATTTAAAAATTATGCTCAATTTGGAGAATAGAGATGTTAATTTAAAAAATGAAATTAAAAACAACTTTCCTATGCAAATTTCTGATTTTGGTATATGAACAACAAAGATGTCTAAGTTACAAGTACTTTTAAAGCTAAACATTAAACAGTCTAAACCGTAAGTAAACTGCAGTTATTTCCTCGACCAATAAGGAAGCCCTATTCGCTAGGCAACCGCTACAATTTTTTTTTCAAGACCATATAACACCTCGATGATCTGCATTCTCTGTGCGTTTCTTTTTCTTTCACACGAAAATCCAGAAATTCCTCTCTTATCCTATTATTATTATATGCATTAAGAATATACATTTTCCCTGGTATTTACTCCTTTTTTGTATTATAAAAATTTTACTCAAGTTATTGATTTTGTTTGGTATATTGATTTTTAAAAAATGTATTAGTAGACAAATATTTGTTATTTAAAAATAAAATCTGCTACGTTTGGTGTGTATAGAAAAAAACTGTCCCCTTGAAATCAAGAGGATTTCCTACGATTTCTTTAGGGTTTCCATAATCGAATTTCAGAAGCCTTTCAATTCACATCGGTTTGAGTTTTGCATTCTGATCGCAATTCACCTTTATATGATAACTTAATTTCAATGAGCTAAGCAGGTCAAAAGCTTCAATTTAACAATTGATATTCAACACAGGTTTAAAAGCGAATGATAAAAATATATATTATTGATACTTATATTATAAATGAAACCTTCAAAATAATGAATTAAAATAAAATTAAATTAAAATACAAATTCAAAAAATAAAAATAAAAATAATTATAAATTAAAGAAATTTAGATAATTTTATAGTTTTACATCCACATGTAACGATCGAGACTCTTGTGAGCAAAATATCTCTCTTAATTGTAGTTTTAATTAAAATTGTCAAGCTGTAATAAAGACCTACAATGATGTATAATTGTCGGAAATTTTCTAATTCTATGTTAAATTTTAACCATTGAGCTATTTAATTGTATTATAATTGTTTTTATTAATACCGATAGACTTTTTTTATTTTCTCCAAATCTATAAATGAGAGAAAAGTGAGTCACTGTTACAAATTTCACTATTTGATTGATGATAATCACAGTAACTATTAACTAATTAATTATTGAATTATAAAATTATCATTCATAATTAATTACAATTTTTTTAATTACCTAAACTACATTATTAAATGTTAAACTTTCTTTAAATTTATAACTTGTATACTACTTTTTATATTTTTTAAAATAATTATTTTTCTTCAATTTATAATTATTTTTAATATTTTCAAGTTTCATAAATTTAATTTTTTAACGTATATAAAAAACGTGGATCTAGCTATGCAAATGAGAGATTATCAAATTTTTTTTTGTAATTTTTTATTTATTGTCGAATCATTCTTATTTTATTTTCTATTTCAAACAATGAAAGTTTAAAAAGTAAAATAATCTTTTCATTTCTAGAATCAAAATAAAGAAAAACTTTTTCTATACACGTGGCATTTGAACCTTCTAGTGTGAAAGAACAATAACTTCAAAAGGTCAACTTTGAAGCGATTTAGTGAAGACCGAGGAGAAGACTCAGAATTATGTAAATACATATTTTATATACAAAATATATTAAATAAAATTGTACATAAAGACAATTTTTTTCAATGTTTTTTCTATACCTAATTGACATATATTAAAAATACTATTAAAAAAAAAAAATTTAACTGTTTTTATAAACTAAATAATAGTTATTAATCCTAATTATCGAAATTTATGAATAGAGAATGATTTAATCAAAATGTCTGAATACATACAGTTGAGGAAACGCTCAGAAAAGAGCAATTTTCTGTCAATCTTTTTTTGCTTTCTCTCACCAGATTCTGATCATGACTACGAATTCTAAAATGAGGCTAGAATGCGAGTGAAACTAGAAAATTTCAATTTGCAGTTAATAGCTCTAATTGCAAATTGAAATTAAAGGACGATTCTCAAAGTTATATATCCAACTCTCACACATGCTATATATAAGTATATTATGGACATATAGTATATTCGAAAAGATAAACATGATTTATAGTATGAATAGTTTTCAAATTAGAAATAACCAATATATATATATAGAGAGAGAGAGAACCTCACACGGGACAATGAGAAATATAATCGAAAGAATAATTATAATCACCGCGTATAAAATCGTCCGAGCGCATTGAATAAAAGTAGGACGATTTTCATTGCACATCTCGAAACTTTCTGATTTATATTCTGAATTCTGATCATTCATCAAAAGTACTTTTCATTATTCAAAATCAACATAGACCTATCTTAAACTTTGTTCGTTCGATTGATATCACAGAAAACTATGGAAAAAAATATAATCAACTTTTGTCAAATGATAATTATACTCATTAACATTTATAAAAGTAAAAGTAATTTTATAGAGAAAAATATTGTTCAATTTATTAAAACAAACAAAATAAATTAATTTGCTAATAAAAAAATTTAAAAAAGCAAAAATTTCATTTTAAAAAATTGATAATATAAAAGAAACATGAGGAAAAATTAAATTTCAATAAAGTATAATTTAAAATTCGACAAAATTGATTTAGATAATTAGAATAAAATTTTACTCACAAATCCCAATTTATCGGGGAATTTATAACAGAAAAATCCTTAATAATATTTTTGATAACAATAAAGAAGAAATTCACTTTTTTTGAACACGATTAGTTGTGTGCCACCAACTTCGCAGAACGGAACGGAAGACACTTCACAACGTTCGAAACAACACTGATAATACCGGCGGTGAGTTAGTACACGAGGGAAGGGCGCAATGAAGGAGATGAAACCACGTTGGGATTTTTGAATTCGAGAGAGAGAAAGGTGAGACTAAAGGAGAGGAGGAACGTGTTTATATCAAAGAGGTGGTACTATATAGAAAATAGAAAGAGAGACAGAGATCGAATATCAACCACAACAAACGCCAATGTGTCAGGAATATATACATTATAAAATGAATCAAGCCAATCGAAAGGTTATAGCAAAACCAGCATACAATACATATATAACGATAACAGGCGAAGAAGAAGGCGAACAAATTTCATAATTAATAATCTGGCTACTGAGTCAATATAAATTAAAATCAAATCTACTCTCAAAATCCTTAATTTTTTTCCCTTTCTTTCTGTACGAAATAAAAAATAAAAGAGCATAAAATTTGTAAATTTCGCAACACCAGTTTTTAAAAAATTATAAATTTATAATTAATTAATATTATTGCTTACAATTTGTACCGAATTATTATTATTATTATTATTATTAACTATGTCTTCTGAAGTACCTATGTTGGTTCTAAGTTTCTGTTTATTTAATTTGTTATTATCAACAATATAATTAATTTTAAAAAATTTAATTTATTTAGCAGAATTTTCAAATTTTATGAAATTACTTTTAATAATATTCACTTAACCGAATTATCATTTGTCATAAACATATATTCTGTTTTCTAATGTTTTCATCATTGACAAGAGTTAAAAATTATTGTCCTTGAATTAAAACAAAAGTAAAGAGGATATAACAAATTATACACAAAATAATAATTCAGCAACAATAGAGTAAACTTGACATTCAATTAAATTTAAATTCGTCAAAATAATTATAATTCGAATATAAAAAAAATTATAAATAAAAAAATTATACTCAATAATAATTTGATTTAATGTAAATTAATTAGAATAAAATTAAAATATTCAAATTTGTATTCTAAATTAATATTTATAATTAAATAATTATTAATAATAATATAAAAGAAAATTAAATAATAATAAAGATAAATAAGTTTCCTATATTATCAGAGATTTATTAAAACCCAACAAAAAAGAAAACAAAATTCAAATTTATTAACAATATAATTCTACATTCAGTTTCATGTTTGTTTAGTTTCAAATTGTTAATAACTTATGTAGTGTTTTTTTTTTAAATTATTGAAACATTGTTAATACTTAGAGCGCTATCTAGTAAATAAAATCTGTACTTTTGAAACATTACGACTCCACCCACGGTTTAAATTTTAAATTGTAACGGACAAACTGACTTTCACCTGTTTGTATATACCGTAATTTTAGTAAAATAACATATTATCCCTCTACTAAAAGATAAATTTTTTCTTAAATAATATTAATACCATAGGCACCAAAAAACATGTTTGAAAAAATTATAAACTGTCTAAAACTATCGCGTGTAAACAAATTGTCAAAATCCTCTTAAACGAAAATATAGCGCATCATATTTATATTTTCAATGCATTTTAAAAAACGCGTAATGTTTAAATAGAAAAATTATATTTAAGCATTAAAGTTTAAGTTATATCAACAAATAGTTTGTAAAATAGGTAAAATGTAAACAATTAAATGCAACAGGTAAAACACAACAATGATCAATTAAAGATATCTGATATAAACTTACCAGCACACTTCTGGCGCTGCGGAGGGTTTCTCGTCTTCGAACTCTCGTTTGATAATCTCTCAGCACATGTAAATATTTGTTTTCTTTATCACGTAAACTATTAAAAGATTTCCTTAATGCTTTGACACTTCCTTGACGTGACGCCATTTTTGTTGCTACTGCTTCGGCGCCAACTTCACATGGTACTGTATCTCGATTCTCAAATCGATTTCATATCGATTGCAAAATGCCCGGTAAATTCCTAGATTTAAATAATATTAATTTCATAAAAATAATGAAATGTAATACATATATTAGTTTTTGCAAAATATGTTCGAAAATCTAATCTAAAAGTAATTTTTATATCAATAAGCAGATTTAACAAAAAACAGGATTACCTTGCACATGCGACATTAACAATAGTGTAATTTTAGATAAACTTACAAGTAAACACTTTCTGCATTCCGAAGAATATTACATCTTGAATATTTTGTTTGTTAATCACACAACACATTTAAATAATTATTCTTCTTATCACTTTTATTAAAATTATTCTTAAGCTCAACATTGACAACGTGCTCCAGCTGACGCCATGTTTGTTTCAATACAGCGCCGCCTACTTTTTATTTCCAGAACATCTCGATTTCAGAGCGTTTGAAAAATAGCGGGAAAGTAGTCTGGAATAATGAACCTTATATTATAAATAAATAAATATAATTAAAGTGTTATATACCTAAATAGAATATTGTCTGATAAATTAAAGAACTATTTAAAATATTCGTATAGTAATTTTATGATGTTTTTATATATAAATTTACTTTTTAAAGGTTTACTTATGGCTGACTATGAAAGGCTTTTACTACTTATTTTCCACTGTAAGTGGTAAATAATTATCATGGGCAGCCAAGTAGTAGTAACATATTTTAAGTCAGACTTAGTAAGCCTTTTGCTATTACTGAAATGAATAAATACTAATAATTTAAATAAATAGTAAATAATATTGTTTCTTTACTTTATATGTTAAATATTGAAAACATTATATTAAAATTGGATTCAATTAAAAATTATTTAATTGTATACAAAATAATAAACAGAAAATTATTTAAATATAAAAAAAATCCTAACTATGTATAAAAATCATATTTAAACTAATATAATATTTTAAAGAATTTTCATCCTAATAATTATTAAAATTAATATTAAAATTCTAAATTGAAAAATTATGTGTAAAATTATAATTTCAAAAATAATTTATAGAATATTTTTTTTTTTTAAATTAAAATTTCATAAAACTTACAATTAATTTACTAAATAAAAATTACAAATTAGCATTTGATATCTGTAAAAAAGCAATTAATATTAATATTTATGAGAATCGAAACAATTTTGGAATTTCCGTGTCAATATCTTTATTTAAAGATCAATCTTCTTTATAATTGTTAAATCAAATAATATATTTAATGCATATTAAAACCAACATGGAAGGGTGGTGTACAATACAATGCGCAACGGCTCGCTGGGCGAGACGCAAGGGCGCGTACTTTTGTACAAAAACTATAACTAATATAATATATATATTTATATATATAATATGTATATACCATGTAGAAAGAGTCATTTTGCCGTAGCCTTCGTAGTCAAGTCTTTTTTACGAAATATATATCAAAGAAATGCCGCCAAAACACTCAAAATTAATATATTATAACTAAGAAAAAAAATAAATCTGGCCAAAAAAAATTCTCGTAGGTATTCAGTCAGTTCGAACTTCAGTCCTCAAGTATCGGAAGACATTTGGGTTTTAGTCGAAAAACTTGATCTATTCCAGAATTATATTTTCATTATAATTATTTTCTAAAAAATTTCAATTTGTCGACAATCGATAGATAATCTCCTTAATACCATTCAATTATTAATGTTTGTCAATTAATATTATTATCAATATTCCTTTATTATTTAATATTAATAATAATATTAATTTTATCAAAACAATATTAATCTTAATACACTGATATTAATGTCATAATATTCACCTTGTAGAAAATGTATTCGCTATACATTCTAAACGCGGAAAATTTCTCTATAAAAAATTGTTTCAATTCCCAATCTCGGGATTTGAATCTTATTTGATTTTGAAAAATTCTCAAAGTCAAAAAGTTTTTTTGTTTCTCTTAAAAAACACTGGTATTTTTCATTAGGGTAAAATGGTGAAATTTTATACGATTGAAAGTCGTCCCATTTTTAGGAAAGCTTTTACAAAGTTTTTTTCTTTGAAATGAATAACTAAAGTAAAAAAGCTGGTCCATTTTTCAGTATCGTCGTGATATGAGGTTATCAAAATCACTGCTAGCGCATGGTATCTATAATATATAACTATACACCTACAATAGTTAACAAGACAAGTCCGCAGTCCGAATTAATCGGGCTGAATTTTTAATCGATTAATCTTACGATAAGTTTATCTTAAGTAGTGTGTGTGTGTGTATGTTTACGGTTTTAGAGTTGAAACGACATATGAGATTTGTTGTCGATTTTTTTTGTCTTTTCGCGAAGACGCAACTCTTTTTTTTAAATAATCGGAGGAGTGGTGCTAAAACATTTCTTTAAATGCAATTCATCTTCTCCAATTTTAACGACAGGGCAGAACGTCTGAAACTCAGGTTGATTATATTTCTATAATAATACTCTGTTATTCTGCACTCTCGTTTTATTTATTTTCTTTTTTAACTTTTGATTAAATGCACAACGACGAATTTCGGACGATCTGCTACAATTGGGCGATTTTTTTTAACAGCAAAAACAGTCGGTGTCGATTTAAATTGTAAGTATAAAATATTAATTGGCATTCAGTAATATATTTCTAGTCTTATTGCCTCGGTTGTTTCAACTATTTTTTTTTCACGGTTTACAAATTTATCGAGCCGTGTTTTTAACGAAAACTGGAATTAACAAATAGCAGTCTGTTTTTTTTTTAAAGATTAATGGAAGATTTAATTGAAAAAACAATGGGACGGATGTTGGAAAACACATCGGAATGTCCAAAGTCTCTGTGGCAAATGGAAATTTTTTTTCAGATAATCGAAATAAAAAATAATTTCTTAGAAATCTAAACGATTTCAAGAAACAAATTTTGTAGAAAAATTTCAAAAAAGAAAAATTTGAGAAAAAGGACACTTACAGTGAACTACAAAAATTTCAGAGGTATTTTCAAGGGAAGTTTGAGGAAGAAATGTCTGAGATACAAAAGACTTATCAAGAAATTTGGCTTTTCTTTCATTTTTTTTAAGTACGTGATTTTTTACTCTTAGAGTAAAATTTAAAAAAATGTTTCTAATCTGCTAATAATTGTGCAATAGCACTGAAGATTCTATAAAAAATAGAAATGAAAATTCGGTATTGTTTCAAAAACATGGGATACAAGTCCCTCAAAAAGTCAGTCAATAAGCTCTTGTGTATTTTGGGGGGATGGGGAAATGTGCCTAATCCACTCCTCCAGATTCTTCTCATTTAGCCCCTTATCTCAATTACAACTTCGATTCGGGAATGTGAATTACAACGTCGACGAAGATCATTATAAAAAAAAATTTCTTTTTTTGTAGTCTGGTATTCTCGTCATTTTTATATATGGCAACATTCTTCAAATTACAAAAAATGCGAACAAAGGCAGATGGTGAATTATGAATTCAGGCCTTGACGCTTTTCCTCCTCGAGCATTGCGTCCAGCTCATTCGTAAGATTTGTCAGCATGTTACCGATATCATTTAAAACATCCGCCGGTTCTCCACCACTTGTGTGATGATTTACCAAATGATTTCCAATTGTTCCTGAATTTCCCACGTATTCCTGGGCCCTTGCCGCTCTCTGCTTTATCGTGCCGGCATTCTCATTCGCAAATGGCAGAGAATCCGATTCCGTACTAGAGCTCGACTGTTGAAAACAAAAATAGTGAAATTAAAAAAAGTTCCGAACTTAATAATTATTTATAAGAGTTATAAAATTTACTTTGAAACTAGCGTCGGATCCATTACGATGCTGCAGGGCAAGAGTGGCAATAAGCTCGTGTTCTTCATTGACATTGACGCTGACACTTCCCCAGGAACGTGACATAGAGGAAGGCGGCCTACTGAGTTGTGGCGGTGTCGATGGAGGTGCTGCAGGTGCAGGTGGCGGTGGATGATGATGATGATGAAGATGATGATCATCACACGTTGCAGTTGGTACAGGACCACTGCAATCTATCACAACATCGCCCACATTATTTCCACCTCCAACATTTGATCCCATATCTCTGGAACTTTGTCGTCTTGGCGGTGATGGAGGACGTCGTTTCGATAAATTAGGACTACTTTCCAATCCATACGTCAGCTGATATTTATTATCAACAAAGTCTCTTGGCAGTGATTTAAATTGTCCCGGTGTTGCTTGCACCTAATCAGTAAAAAAGAACATATTTTATTATTTCTCTCAAGAAAATTTATTACTCTAAAAAATAATTGATGAAATTACCTTGGCAACGGGTCGGGGTCGAACCAGACAATGTCTAGGTCTGGGAAGAGTTCCACCTCCAACTTCGATGATAGAGCCTTCGTTGGTCGGAGTTAAATCGCCGTCTTCATAACTTCGTGGCCGCCAATCAACGGTTTGAGGATGTGATGACACGGGTGCGGGTGATGGTGGATAAGTAACAGGAGCGTCTTCTAAACTTTCGAGTGACTTTCCTCGCGAATTCCCCCGACCCACTGTATTATAATCCAGCCCAGCTGGTAGCGCAGCGTACATACTTCTCCACGTTGCATTTGCATTTGTTTCATTACCAGCTCTTTGGAAGGATCTTAGCACCGGTGACGAGCAGTCTTCATCGGGCGATGGCAAGTCGGGAACACCACGTTGAATGACAACATCCTGCAAAATACAATATTTATACAAACTTTTCCCAACTCCAAGTTTTAATAGTCTTCAACAAAGTTTACTTTAAAAAATGATTTTCTCCATGAAAAAAGTGAAAAGGAAATTTATTTTTTAATTTCACAATAAGAATTGTACCTGCGTTTGTCCTGGATGTGGTGGGAGTCGTGCCAAATCCAAAGGTTGAATTCGTTTACCAGCACGAATGTCTTTGACTCGTTTAATTGCCAAAAGAAGTTTCTTCTGATGACCGAGTCGAACGATACCAATGTCCTCGAGATCCTCCCACGTGAGAGTCGTAACATCCTCAACGGAACGCATACCCTGTTGATGGAGAGCACCGAGATATTCCTCGAGTCTTAATAACCTTAGCCACTCTTCCAATGAACCCGGAACATGTTCTGGTAGACCGTCTCCTATATTTAAATTATCTATTTCCGCCTTCAGTCGTTTCCTATGGTTCGGCTTCTTAATACCTGTTTAAAAACAATTTTATTTTAGTTTCAATAGAAAACTGTTTTTAGAAATTAAATATAGATTCGAAAATAAAATTCTATTTTAATAAAAAGTCTACATAAATTCGGCTTTGTATAAAATATTTGAAAATTCTAATTTTAGAATGGATTAAAATTTTGGAAAATATTACCTATAGCTGTGAGATCCTCGGGGGTCATTCGAGTTATAGTGGCGAGATCGTAGCCAGCAGAAGCAAATAAAGGAAAGTACTCCTCGAATTGAAGCTCGGTCAGCCAAGCATGAACGACATCAAGATCGCCAGGTCGATCGGGATGACTTCCAAGTGAACTAATGGAACACCTTGGTGATGATGTGAGTGTACCGTGTCCTCGGGGACCTAAATGATATCCAGAAGCTCTTCCAGAATCAAGAGACGCTGTCGAGTGCCTCGAACCAGATCCAGAGCCAGAACTCCCAGGACTATCTCTTCCGGGGCTTTGTGTCATGTCGATGCCTACAAAAACAAAACTCAGTAAATATCATCTCCAATCACATTTAGCCTATTTATCAATTGGCAATTAATTTACGTTTTATACTACTCTTATCGTCACAAGACACTAATTGCGGAAATTCGTTCCTGTTTCAAGTGAATTTTTTTTTTTTTTTTATATAAATAGTAATAATTTTACAAAAAATTTATTTATTCTTTTTACTTTTTATTTTTATTTCTCAATATATCTTTAGTGAAAAAAAAATTAAAATCTGTAATTACGGAAAAAAGATCAAATTTTGTTTGCAGGGTTTAGCGAATAATAATTGAAATATAAATTTTAAAAAAAGTATCGATATAGAAATATTTTCGAAACAAATAATAGAACATTTTTATCAAAGAAATCTCGAGTGTCAGTGCAATCTTCAACGATATAATATTCATTGATAGTGTCCAAGTTGTCTATAGAGTGAAATACTGGAGCACAAAATGATCGTAAACAACTATTAAAGAGGTCGATGATTATCCTCGGTTTTATATATATATATATGAATAAATACGTTTAAAAGACAAAAAGTGATCAGTTTCCTCATCTTGATCCACTATACACTATAAGATTCGTATCTCTCTTAGAAATCACTATGCGGTAATTTATGTAGAAACAAATATATTAAAAGCTTTACGCATATAAAGTATTGCATTAAATTTGCGCTCAAAGTTATATATATGAGAAAATAGACATCTCAGAGGAGAAAAACATGAATATTATTGCTCACATTAACTATATACAAAATAGCCATATTTTTCAAATTTCAAAAAAAAAAATTCTACATACAACGAGAAAACTATTTTATGATTTTCTGATAAAACGTTTTCCGCTTCTACTATTGTATACGAGTAATTAAACTTGTCAAGAAAGGTTCTTAAATTAATAATAAATAAAAAAAATAAAATTAGAATATTTATTTTAATAATTAATAAGCAATAATAAAATATTGGAAAACTTAATTAGAACTTCATTTTAATGACTATTTAATAAAAACATCCTTTTTATTAATTAATAAATTTTAATTAATTTTTCTTTTTGGTAAAATTAATTATTAATAAGTAACTATGATAAAACAAATAATAAATAAAAAAACGAGTGAATTAAAAAAAAAACTTTTCTAAGAAATTAGCAGTTTAAAAATCCAAGAATGCACTTTCAAATAAAATTTCATTTTTTGCGGAAAAAATTATAGGTTAATTATTTAAAAACACAGAAAAGACTAAATTTCTAAATTATTCTGGAATTTATTTTTTATTATTTTTGCATATGAATATATGAAAATTTTGCAACATATCATTTTGTTCAAAGTTCTTGTAAATTCTTTTCTATAAAAATTTTATATATATATTTTGTCGCATTATATTCGATAATAAAATTTACTATTAAGGATCATATACATATTTTCAGTGAAATCCAGTGTATGAGGAAACTTATTCTTTTCACTCACTGTTATATGAATCAAGCGAGACAAAATTTATATACTCTCATAGCATTATTCAAGGGAAATAAATTCTTTAAAAATAAGAGAGATGCGGTAAAATTTATTACTCGTAAAAATATTTATTCATGTATAGAACACGTACATCTTTTCAATGAAAACTTTTGCGAAATCGTTTTTAAACCACAGTGAGATACAAAATTGAAAAGATATATTTTTATTATTAAAAAAAATTATTATTTCATTTTTTTTTTTAATTTTTCTATATTATAATCCGTTATATTGAAATAAAAAGGAAAATTTGATAAGAATGAAAAAAAAAGGTGAGGAAAAATTATTGTCCCATTATACTGGCTCTATAAAATTAAATGAGAATTATCCATAGGGATTATAATTTAGATTGAGTGTAGTTAATTTTCTGCGACGTGGAACAGAATATGACATGGTGTTGTAGTCATATTATAAATGGATTTATTTCTGTGACTGCAAAAGTATACGTATGTAAAAACAAGAACGATCATGTGGTTCTTAATCTCGACGACGACGACGACGAGAGAAAACCAGTTTCTTTATGTATATAGTGGCAAAATTGTTGCTGACCACATGCGAATTTCTAACTGTATATATAACCGCTTGTCGCGTGTGTATAACTATATATGTATACCTTGATCCTCGGCGTGGGCGTATTTGCCGACGATCGGTGGGAAAGCGAAACCAGGGTGAGTGAAAATTGGCCCTGGACTCTTTCCCGATGGCATCCCATAGGATCCGTCATCGCCAGCACCTCCACTTCCGGTACCACTCGATAAAAAGCATCCATCCTCACTGCTCGCGTATCCTGCCGAACCAAAGGACGAGCCGGAATGTCGAAATACATCGGGAACGGCCGGTGGTGCCACTTTCTTCACCTGGGTCACAGCTTTCGATGGTCGGTTCATTCCGCCAACTGAAAAATCATTTTTCAAATAAATATATTTAAAAAAAAATTAATTTAATCAAATTCGGTATGAAATATTTAAATTTGTTTTAAATATGTGACCGTGTCTACGAGAAAAGGTACCTTAGGTCACAAAACAGAATTTTACAGGAAAGGATAATGATAGTATAGTAGTGATTTTTTCAACTTTTCACACTCTTGATTTCATAAATGACAAATTAAGGTGGAAACGTTAATTAAAGTAAAATCGTTATAGGTAACGAAGTGTGAAAAGAAGCTTAAGTCCGAAAAATCTAAAATTCTAAAAAGCCATAAAAAATGTAATTATAGCTTTTCACTCAAGTGAAAGTTTTTCAAATATATAAATAATAAATAACGTTCCAATAAGCCCCATCTTTATGATTTATAAATATATACAATAATTATCTTGAGTTATGCGTCATATTTTTTCATATAAATTATTTATCTCACCATAATTCCTAATTCAAAAGAAATAAAAAAAATGCGTTTTAGACATAAATATTTTTTCAATTACCAGAAAAAATTAATTTCCTCTCCTACGCCTATTGAATTAATTTCAAATTAATATCGAAATTAATAGAATTAAAAAAAAATTACATTTAATAGAAACATTTAAAAAGTAGCACTTTCTATCAAGCAAAAGTAACTGTTCGCTTTTTTTCAATGTATTTTTATTGCTGTTGTATTATTCAAATATTTTTTCTATTCTAGAGGTTCATTTAAATATACCACAGAATTGAGAATGGAATATTTTATAGGAATAAATATATAAAATTGTCGAAGCTTTTTCATTCGATAATAATAGTAATTGAAGAATTATGTTATTTTTAAAAATTAATTGAATATTTAGTGAAATTAAATATACTATAAACTATTTTCAAAAGAATTAATAAAATAAATTTAGAAATTTTATATTTACACAATGAGAAAAATTTCATTCAAATAATCGACTATTATTAAATATTATTATATAAATTAAATATTATTATTAAATTAATTGTAAATTGTTATAATTCATGACTAATAAATTGTAATGTTTATTGAAACATTGTTCCAATCAACACTAGATTCTGCGTTAATTAATTTTCACGTTAATTAGTTTTAATTTCAAGTATACACTATATTGTCAATTAAAAGAACATACCACTGCCTATTAAAACCATAATTCTGAATCATTAATTCTTTAACAGAAACTATGCCATCATAGAAGCTCGAGCAACATTTCAATCTGGAAGCAATAATTAACGATTCCACAAATCAATAATTGACCATAATTCAGAAAATGTCATCAAAATCATCAATTTTCAATCGTTTTGCAAAATACATGAATTTCATTTTTTCTGATTATGGAAAATTTTGATTAAAATTGATTTTAATTTTCATTTGAATAAAACAACAAATGTATAATTATAATGCAATGACGGGGCATTAATTTCGTTTTTCAGACTCACTTATCATTTATGTCTCTTTATATGCAGGAGAGAAAAGATGAAGCGTGGGCCTAATACACGTGTAAATGCATTAAATTTATAAATTTTTCAAGACGCGCACATCTCATCCCACAGCTAAACCAAATTGATCCAAGTTTTTTTTTAATTTTAATTTGAGCAGAGCGTTCAGTGAAATCTTTAAACACAACGATATTTGAGACATCACAAGTCAAACTGTTTGAAAATTTTTATATATTTGAATATGTACAACGACTTATGGTTTCGAAGATGAGGGAGTAGAAACTGGGATCCACGCGTCCATGTTCTTCACGTCAAAATGCGGTTTGCTTGGACAAGAAACAGGTTCTCATCGGCGTAGGACGACGAGTCTTTCTCTCTCTTTTATTCTTTCTTTCTTTCTCTTCTCGAAGTCTAATTTTAAAATCGAACCAGTTCGAAAGAACTGGAAATGTTGATTCGAGTATATAACAAAGTGCACTTCCGTGGCAAACGTTCTCTCTAATCCCATTTTGAAGTTTTCTGAAAACAAGACTTGATGTTTATTTGGCGGTTCAGAAATTGACAATTAGAGAGAACAGATTTACGATCTGTCGAGGAAGGATGCACTTCCCATGGTATAATATTCTAAATTTATAATATGCACCAGGGCAAAATAAATCACTTTTTTTTAAATTAAAACGAAGAAATTTTCCGTTTTAAAAAATAGATTTTTTATTTAAAAGAAAATTTAATTCCCTTTTTATAGAAAAAAAAATTTATCTGGAAGGTTTTTCTAGAATAACAAACTTTTAATTGTTCAAGATAAACTTGTTTTTCTTGTATAAAAAAAATATTTGATATATTTCTCTTCGGATAACGTTTCAATTTTAAAAATCCAATATTCAAAAGAATCAAAATTTTTTCTAAAGTTATTCTAGAGACTTTTTAGTAAAAGCTTTTATTACTTATGAGAAATAAAAATAGGTAATAAAAATTTTCGAATCCAAAAGAAGAACGGTCAAATTTTGAAGACTTCCTTAAGGCAAACATTAAAACCATTTGGACCGCACGTTTTCTTTTAGGAGCGTATCTAATTGACTGGAACTTTTTTTTAGAATGAAAAACTCATACATAGGGTCGATTTTTCAAATGCCTCCATTGAGAAAAAAAAAGAAAAATAAGTTACTCTTGAAATATTGTAAGGGGCATTTCATTCAAAACGAAACTGAATAAAAAAAGCGTCTATAAATAAAAAAGGATGGAGAGATGGCAGGGTGTTCAGCTTCACCTGCCTATTATATTTCACCTGGAAGGTCCACCCGCCCTTTTTCGCAAATTGGTTCGAAAAACTATTGCTTCCTGTGATAACCGGAAGTAAACAAATTTACATATTAAATTATAATTAACAACTAAAATAATTAACTTATAATAGAATAAAGAAGAAAATCACTTGAAAAAAGAAAAATGAAGAAATTAATGATTCTTGACCATTATATTCTAATCAGGAAAATCGGTATATAGACGGTGAATTAGCATTTTACATAGAGACGGTTCAAAGACAGACGCACGTTTCGCTGACACGTTTATGTTGTACAAATGTAAAAGAGAAGCAGCACGTGTTCCATTAAAAAAAAGGGCGCTCTCTTAAGTGCTGCTTCTAAATGCAGAACGCAGAACGGATCTATTTCCGGTTGCCAGATATAAGCCCTGCTGCTGCAAATCTCTCCATCTTTCCAGACACCATTTTTTTTTTTTTTTTTGACATTTTCAAAAATAAAAACTTATTTATATTTCCACAACTATTTTTCATAGAATTTTAATATTGTAATTGCCATTAGAACCATCAATTATAATTAACTGAAACTATTATATAAATTGAAATAATAATTATATTTTATAAAAATCGAATAAAAATTTATTTCCCATTTTAGAACAATATTTATTGTAAATCTATTTTGAGTCTGCCGCATATTGATTTGAGTCTATATATGAAAGAAGGTCAAGACGTAAAGCAATATAAAGAAATGATGTAAGTTAACTTGACATTAGTCTACAAGAGTCAAAGTCAACAGAGTGAGTCTCAATTGATTGTGTAAATTAAGAAAAACCACAAAGATCATGAGGACTCGCAACCAAGTACAGTTTAGCCTCAAGTACTCCTTTGAGAAAGAGAGAAAGAGAAACTTTACAAGGACACTTGTCCCAGTCATGGTCCGTGTCCCGCGTACCAACAAGAATTCACGAGAAAAAGAGAGAAAAAAAAGGGACGAAGCACTCTTGACCAATCCACTTCAAGAGACAGAGATCCTCGTCAATACAAAGTATATTGAAAAATATATTTCTTGAAAGTAATAATCCTGTTATGCCACATTTAATTCCTTTGCCATCTGAATATATTTTTTACTTTAATATAATGTAATTTTCAACTCTAACTTTTTTTAAATCATAATTCAAAATTGACAATAATTTTTTAAATATTTTCAAAAGCAACTGTTTTATATTGATTCACCTTTTTTGCTTCTATGAATAATTTTGTTCCCTTTTTTTCTTGATTCATTTTACAATGATTTTTTTTTTATAAAGTGCAAATTTTTATGCGCTACAAAACACAATTTCTGATACCTTTTCTGTATGTTAACTCTTTATATCGCCCTCGTTCGCAAGAAACATATATGCCAATAAAGAGGAAAAATGATAAGACGAAAGATTTCTAAAGCACTTCTACGAAACTTGCACGTTACGCAGCACGAGGACGTGACATAACTCAAGTTTAGCACAAATAAGTATTCATATGCGGAACGCTATAAAAAAAACCAGTCGCGCCGCGTGTGTATCTTAACCTTTTAAATCCAATAGAAAAAGTTTGTCGAATGATTAAAAAAAAAAATTTTTTAAATAAAAAAAAAATTGAAAAAACAAAAGAACAAATAAAATGTTTATGAACTCTTATTGGCGTATAAAAGTTATTAAATAATTCATTTTGTCATTATTATATCCATTTATTTTTAACAGTGCACATATAACTTTTATTACTGGTAATAATAAATGTATTGAAATGACGATTGGTATCTTTAGTCCTTATTATTGATCTTTAATATATAATATTGAAACTGAAATGATCCGATAATAGAAACGCTTAATATGACAACTTTAGTGTCAATAATGTTTAAATATAGTAACATAGTTGTGCAATTTTTTAAAAAAATTTATATTCTCGTAAATTGTATTTTTTAAACTAAAATTGCAAGTCACTGTTTCTCGTTAAAAAAATTGCCTACATATAAAATATATACAAACATTATATTCAAGGTAAAGAGAATATTCTTACAATAATAATTATTGTAATATTTTTTCTTGTAAAATTACTATAATTACAAAGTACAAGGCATATAATTATTAAAAAAAGCAAAAAAAAATTATTGCCCCTACTATTTTTAATAAAATTAGTATTTAGGAAAAAAATTAATTTATAAATACAATAAATGAATTTTAAAAGACAGAGTTGGAAACTATTTTCTCCGCTTTTTAAATATAAAAATTCAGGTGCGCATGTTTCTTTGAAAATAACAAGAGCACAGCTAACAAAACAGAAACCAATCATTTTAAACCATATGTTTCTGAGTAAGCTGCGAGGCGTTTAAAATGACCTCGAATACACTCAGGAATCGCATAATTGCGTGCGCGCGTGCTCATTGCATTTATAGAGTTTAAAAGAAACATATGTGTATACACACATCGTGAATGAGCTTCGCGCAAAACTGCCTGCGAATAGGAAAAAAAAAATCAAAACCAGAGAAAGATTAATGTCTTATCTTTTTATCGAAATCATGATAAAAACTGGTTTTGATTCCTCCTTGATTAAGCTTTCAAATATATTTATATATATTATATGAAGACCGACATTTTGCTTTCAAAATTTTTTGATTTCCCTTTTAATTAATTTAATTGATCTTAATTAAATCTCTCTACTTGATATAAATAAATGAAACACATTCATCTTAACAATAAAAGCAACTAAATCAATTGGATCAAAAAATTCCTAGATCATTAATTAATTAATGATTATAACATCATTAAAAACTTTAAAATAAAGGTACTTTTTGGAATTTCATTTTAAAAAGTTAATTAAAATCTATATATATATATATATACATTTTCCCAGTAAATCGTAAAAATAATTTTTGAACACGCCAAATTGGTTCTGTTCAACTGTATAAAATAAATTGTTTAGTCTTTGGAGAAAACTAAAAATAGTTTTGTTAGGCCAATAAAATCATTCTCTTACACAAGTTTCCCATAAAATTATTTTGTTAGTCTATAAAATATGTTTGTTTAAAAATAAATATATATATAGATTTCAACTGGAACAAAACTATTAGCGAGGACTAATAAAAATCATTATTGGTGTATGTAACATTATATAATTGATTTGAAAAATATTTAAAACTGGTAAATTTTTAAATAAACAAAAATGTTCAATTGGAAATAATTGAAACATAATCTGATCATAAGGGAACAACAAAAAGAAATAATAATAAATAAAAATATTTGAATTTATTAATAATTAAATTGTTTTAATAAATAATTAATGTTACTAAAGAAACGAGAAGATTTCTTATGGAGCCTCATAAGAAGTTTTATCAATTTCATTAAAAATGAATAAAATTCTTTTTATCATTTTCAAAGTTGGTGAAAGAAAGTGATATAGTCGCATATAAAAAAAAGCAAGAGCTGCATAAAACTCCAGTTTCAAGTGCAATTTCTAATCTCAGTGAAATGTTTCACGTTGATGCTTTTAGGCACTTATATCCTTCCTATCTAAAGTGGGCACCTCCTCACTCTGAAGAAGCCGCCAAAGTAATTTTCTCTGGAAACTAACAAGATCTAACTTTTCTCTATACATACTCATACACACGTAAATAAAATGTGTGTTCTTTCGACCCATTTGAAAAAGCACACACTTACACACGTACATGAATTGCACCTAACTTGGATATCAACAGGTTGTTGATTTTTCTATATCTTGAATGGTATTTTCTCGCCTACAAGTGACAAGGGGTGGGAAAAAGGCGTCAGAAATTAACCAAGAAGCAAAACCTTTTCAACCGATTACACAGTTGATATTGCGCTTGATTGGTCAACGTGGCGCCTACTTACGCAACTAAAATCCTTTTAATAGCGACTATAAATAATAATAACAATATTTAAGAGTATATAGAGTTTTAATGAAGGCATATATGTTGAAAAAACACTGTCTATACATAACATGAATATATGCGCTTTAAAGTGCCTGCATTCAAAGACTACACATGAGACTGCAATTAAAGTAGAAAAACAAGGTCAGTCAGTTTCTTTATAATCTAGTTTTAACATACCTACTGTACTGTATACTGCCGTACGAAGTAAAAACTTAGTTAACTCATATTTTGGCGAAAAATGAGTTTTTGGTATCAATGGATTCGTAATAAAAAAACGCGTCTGATGGTATTATTAAAAAATTTTTATTTAATTATTTATTGCAAAAAAATAATTATAAAAAATTGGCGAAAACCCAGAAAATGAAGAAATACTACATAAAAAGTATGCTAACTCGAGTTAAGGAGTCCGAAAGTCGTAGCTCGAGCATGATATAAGAAACAAAAACTCAGTCAACTCGAGTTGAGTATTTTTGCTGTCAAAAACGTAGTCGAATTTCATGCATAGTTTCGAAACGAAAACCTTAACTCGAGTTAAGTGAGTATTTATTTCGAAAAGTGGCGTGAGCTAGACCCTGTGTTTCGAAAGCAAACTCCTCAACTCAACATCGTTTAACTTCGGTTTCTCGTCGGGTTGGTTCGGAATCTCGCGTGCTATGATCATGCCGGTTTGTTATTCTTGCAAATAATGCACCGGCTTTTTAGAAAAAGTTTACTTTAGAAAAAAATAAATAAGTGAATAAGTGAAAAAAAAACGAAAAAAATACAAAATTTTCTTTGATTTTTTTTACTTTTAAAAAGTTTAATTAATAGTTTTTTACTGTTGATTATTATATAAAGACTGTTGTAGTAATTATAAACAGCTGTTGTAAGTTATTTGAATATTATAAGCAAATATAATCAATGTTTTTCCACTAATAACGCCGTTTTTTCATACAATCCTTCTACACATTTTTAATTGTAATAAATTTTATACTGAAACATGTTGATTAAAATTTAATTTTTAAAAAAATATTAATAAATAATAAAATAATAAAAAAATATATAAATTAAAAATAATAAAAATAATCTTTGTTAATCACAATCAGAATAAAATTTAACTCAAAAACAAATTTTTTATAATGTGTATTTATTCCCCCACCTCGCGTGCTAGCTTGAGTTAGGTGAGTTTTTACTTCTGAGCGGCGGCTCGAACTCGCCTACCTTTTCGGAAAGCACTCCTTAACTCGAGTTAACTAAGTTTTGCTTGTGTAAAAAAACACTTATCTCAATTATTTAATATAATTTGTTTAAATAATCAATTTTTGACAACGGATTTAGAAAGAACTCTATTTATTTACCTAGAAAGTGAAGTTAGATTAAAGAATTATTTATATTATATTAGGTTTTTTAAGACAAACAGTCTTTCATCATTTTCTCGGTTTCACGAAAATATGAGTTAAGTAAGTTTTTATTTCGTACGGCAGTATAGCAAATTTATTCGCGATTCGTCTCTTGTTGATTGTTTTCCAACTGAGAGATTAATATTGTTACGAATCATAAATTAATTTGATACAATTTTGGTCGCTATTTTTATCAAATGTTTTTAAAATATCAAAATGAATTAAAATAAGAATTTAATTCACCGTAGATTAAAATAATTCATCCAAAGATTAAAATTGCAAAATAAAAACCAATTTAGAAACGTTTATTTTTACCAAATTGAAAAAAATCCATTATTTTAATCTTTTGTGGTATTAATTTAATCTCTGTTTTTAATAACTCATATTTTACTAAATATTAAATAATAAATAAATCAAATTAAGAAACAAACTAAATATGTAAAAATATTGAATTTTCTAATTTTTTGTAATTATAAAATTAAAAAAAGGTATCAGTATAATACCATGAATATTAAAATTACTACTATTAAAATCTAATCCCAATAAATCTTGCAATATTTAAATAATTTGATTAAATTAAGAAAAAAATTTCAATAACAAAAAAAATAAAAAATTTCTATAATAAATCAAATCAAAAATGAGAATAAATTTATCTAAACGAAAATATAAATAGTAGTCTCAACATTTCATAGATCTTCTTTTGATTAGAAAGTCATATAAAACTTGAAAATTACCATAACCTTCTTAATAATACCGATATCAATTAAATCCAGAAGTACGTAAAAAATCAATTCTATCCAATATTTTAATAGCGTCATTAATTATATCGACCTCGAAAATGAAAAATCATCAATCTCAGAACGGAAGTACGACCTTGACATTATGATACCGAAAGAATCATTTATAATAATGATAAGAGTTTAATTTTAACACATGTGGTCTCATTTGTTGCAAAGATACCCTTTTTTTCACGACCTTATATGTGATTTCTCTTCTTTTAGTATGCAATTTCAGTACATTTTGCATTTCACACGAGTATCACGAAAGAATTTATTCTTCAGAGGTTTAGGTCATAAAACATATCCTTTACATATTAATATTAAAATGTATGCGCGAAACTTTTTTTTCGAAACATATGTTTCAAATTTCAATTTTCCGGTTATTATTAAAAAGCGCGATATGCTATCTTCGCGTGATTCAGATGTCAACATTTTTTATAGTTTAAATTATATTGCTGCTAAATTTATGGATTTTTTACCATCATCTTTTTCTCGTTTCGCTGTATAATATGAGAAACTAGATTCTGGATGAAACATTTATTTCGCAGTAACTCGATTTCTAGCATTTGCTATATGGTAGATAGATGTTCTGGTTCACGCACCATTTCTCAAGACCTCGGTTATATATATATGTATATGTGTGTGTATAAACTTCATGAGTGCGCACATACACACAGAGAAACATTAAAATAAAGTACATCCCGTGAATATCAATTGACTTATCATCACGCAATGGGGATGCACGACACAGATTCGCACTGTCTTCTATACTAAAAATAGTCAATTAACAATTCAGTGTGTATGGAACTTTATATAGCCGAATTCATTTTATTTTCAATTTCGAAATTCGAAAATACTGAATTGAATTAAAAAAATAGTGAAAATAATAAAAGGAAGAAAAGTAAAATATTTCATACCAAATGAGGAAACATTATCTATGTCCAGTGGAAACTTACCTGTAACAAAAAAATGAAATTAAAAATTAGAAAAAAAGATGTTATAAAAATTAATTCAAGGAAAAATTTTTTTTCAAACATTTTTACGACTTTGGATATTTAAAAAATTGTTTTATAGAACAAAAAGCAATAAATAAAAATATTTCAGTAAAAAAATGTAAATAAAGTTTTTAATTTGTTCAATATAAATTTTTTATGTTTGTATTTGAAAATTTATAAAGCAGGAGAAAGTCTTTACTATAATTATAGAATACATCCAAAAGCGAGACCTTGAGCCTCTTCTTATTTCTTTTCTTCGCTTCTTTCCTTTTGTACAATTTTGTATTGAGGAGGGAGAGAGCAATATTTCTGTTATTTGATACCAGCAAAAAAAGGTGCTTTCCTAGTTTTGTGTGACAAGGGATGAACAACATAATTTTCAAGTGTAGATGTTATACCTTTTAAAACCGGTAGGACCATTTTCAACATTAAGGACAATAGATTTTAGAGAGAAAAAATCCTCTCAAGTATCCAACAACTGTTCAAGATCAATTTCACGCTCTTAAGGGCGTCGTCGCTCTCTTCAAATCGTTGCATATAAAGAGGACAGTAGGTATTTATATTATTTGCAAAAAAAAAATAATACCAGAAAGAAATTCCAAAAAAATATTTTAAAACAATTTTTTAAAATATAAAAATATTTTTTTAAAAATTACTCTACATAATTTTTATATGGCAAAATATTTCTATCTTGTATTTTTCTTTTTGAGGGGGGTATAACGTCAAATTAGTTTAGTGATCCCGGTGACAAAAAGAGTAAAAAAAGAGATCCACGATCATCTCTTTACTACTTTTAACGCTTTTAAATCAACTTTTCAGGGGCTACTCTTTATAGCACAATCTTTTTCTTTGCTATAAGGTGGTTTATGGTGACACGGTAAAACTCTCATGTCGAGTCGTAAACAAGTTCTTCGTTCCTGAGAATCAACGACGACAACGACGAGAGGGCTTCTATATATACCTATGTGTATTATACCGCAGAAAACGTTCGTAAAGGTGCAAACTCTCGAGTCCCCTAAGAGTTTTACACTCTTCTCGTGGGTGTAAATGCGTTTCTAAATAGTTCAAGCCACGAGAGCATTAAATATATATATATACGAAAAAAGATATTCAAATTATGTTAAATAGGATTAGTGTAAATCTAATCTTAATCTCAACATGAATAAATAGGCTGCGAGAAATAAAAAAAAATTCCTTTTTTCTTCTTCTCAACATCAATATATTACTGTACTTTCAAATTAACGGTATTCAGGAATAAAGGTATGATTTTAAGCAAAAACTTTTTAAATATAACGCATATTTTTGCACTGGAAATTCTATTTTTTATTTTTATAACATTTATTATATTTAATTTTTTATATAACTTTTTCGATAATTTATTTTAAGGAAAAAAATGCATTAAAATCTAAATAATGGGAAGACGGCGAAAAAGGGTTAAAAATTTCCAAATTAAAGGAGTTATTGAAGCCATAAATTTGTTCTGCCAGTGAACTGTTTCATAAACATTTAAAAACATTAAAATACTCTATATTTTATAAGCGCAAGGCTTTTGATTTATTCTTACATTTGTAGACAAACAACCGATATGATCAGTAAATTAGATAATTAATTATCAATTGAATAATAAAAGCCACTCAGTCTGATATTTATCAAATGAATTTTCCTTTTACACCAATTCGTATCAATGTACATTTAAAAGTAATATTGAATAATATTACTATATAATTATCATGATTGATTATAAAACTGAGATAATAAAATTTTTTTCGTTATTAAAACTACTGATCTAAATATTTTGATTACTATTTTAATCAATAAAATTATCAAAAAAATATTCTTAACTGAAAATCCATTTTTTTTTATATTTTCTAGTCACACTGGGCATGTAACAATCATTTAACGAGTCCTACTTCGTTAGAGTTGACTGGTAAGGAAAATAGTTTATCTTCCTAATTTGGAAATCGTTAGTGAGAATAAACAAGGTATGCAAGTTTGCTAGATACTTATGGGGGGAAATGTATACCTTTTAAAGAAAAAGCCACACACAACTGTAGGAACAGGGACACAGCAGGGTACTTGATAAATGCCATATATCGAACTCGTTTACCTGGTCCACGATCGACTGATTCTATTTGAAAGGATGTATGCAGCATCAGACTACACTGACGTGATCCGATCCTCTATAGATAAACGGAGAGATAGTCTTTTCAAATATTTGACATTTCGTGTCATTCTATCACCAATATTGTATGTAAACATATATAAATTACATTCATACATAAATCGTATAAAAATAATTTATATCAATACAATAAAATTTCACTTCAAAAGAATTTCAAAATAAAATTCCACTTCAAAATGAAATTTTATTTCTAAATAATACAATAAAAATCTTTTATTTTTGAAGGCATAAACAATTAAGAGAAATAATAACTGTTGAATGAAATAAATATTAATTTATATTTCCTTTTAAAACATTTAATTATTGTTCAATTGTTTTAAATTTATTTCAACTTCAATAAAGTAAAAGTCAGAATAAATATAATGACTGAGAAATAAATTTTATATCCGGAATCAAATGGAATATTTCATTAATATAAACGTTTATAATGGTACCGCTTTAGTCTTTGAAGTATGTACAATTATTGGCTAAGTACTTAATCTTTAAAATTACAGAATTGCAGAGGGAATGTACAAGCACATCTCGAGATAAATCAAAACGAATTTGTATATTAGCAGGTGTATGCTGACCTTTGTATATTAAATTTTAATTGACTTTTTTTATAAATAAAAATTCGCAATAAACACATAGAAAATTCTTAAATGATTTTCTTTCTGAAAATTTTCATCAATTGCGCGAGAGTGAGTATACTTATAATTGGTGCAATCTGAGAGGCAATAATGATACATATTTAAAATACACATACATATATACATATATGAAGGACGAATTGCAAATTGGTTGCTGATGATGCTCATTAAAGCGTGAAAAATGTACAACCAATTGTGATTACAGAACTTCTTTCAAGTATATTATATATGTATATGTGGATAATTATTTTTGAGAAACAGAAAAGTAGGTCATTTATTGGCAGAAAATTTATTGAAATACGCTTATTCAAATTTTATTGATGGAGTAAAGAAGAAAAAGAATTTCTATTTAAAATACCTACACTTCAATCGATTCATCAATCAACAAACTTTTTCCAAAGGTTATAAATGTCAATATTCTTTTCTCCTCTATATCACGAGAACTATTTTATATTCCCGCAGTTATTTTCTTCAAAAATTTTTATTATAATTGAAACGTGATGTCATTTTGAGATGAACTTTTTTTTTTAATGATGGTGCCAAGTAATAATTTTTACCATCTGAATTATAATGTGTTCATATATCTCGTTTCTGATTTTCTATTTCATAAATTCACGGAGAGAAATGCAAAACATAAAGTAATTTTTACTATTTCTAAAGTAAAATAAATGAAAAAATATTTATTTGATTCAAATAATCGGTTACTTAATTATTATCAAATGTTTACTTGAACCAAATAATTTTTATTTGAGTCAATCACTGACAAAATCGATCAGTAAATTTGGAAATTGGCTGAAATCACGTCATTTTACGGCGTGAAAATAGACATTTAGATAAGTCCACAACATTTTACGGCGTAAAAATAGACAATTGGCTGAAACCACGCCTTTTTACGTCGTGAAAATAGAAATTTGACTAAAGTCACCTCATTTTACGGCGTAAAAATGGAAAATCGGCTAAAGTCACGTCATTTTACTACGTGCAAATAGAAATTTACCAAATGTCACGTCTTTTTTCGGCGTGAGAATAGAAATTTGGCTAATATTGTACGGCGTAGCTCCCCTAGTATTTATTTAGATATTCCACCTTTTGATTATAGCATCACTTTTAGAGATTCGAGGCAAGTGATTTAAATACTCTTTCAGAAAAGTGTACAAAAGCAACACAGTACACGGTTTTAAAATTTAAAATACATCGAATCGGATCAAGTAGTTCTAGTCTAGATGGAAAGGACTTACGTTGCATGAGATTTCTCCAGCTGCCGTAAATCGCCTTGATGCACTTATCGAGAGGCGTGGATGTGAGCATCGGACTTTTTTTCGAGTTCAAGTGCCCCTCGGAGCAACTTCTGTAGAGATTGTTGTTGATGGTGGTGGTTGTTGTTGGCGTCGTCGTCGTCGTCGTCTTGGTTTGATCTCTTAAAAGTGGTTTGCGTCGTTGATGATGATCAGATGACTTGAAGCCATTCGGTATCCAGGCCTCGACGGCGGGATCGCGGAAGCTATGATAGGTCGAGGACATTTTTTTCAATGCTCTCTGCTGGAAACGTTTACCGGGTGGAAGGGGCGGGGGCCCCAAGTAACTTGGTACGGCAGTGATAGCCATCGCATATACGAGTAGTGCAACAAGTATGTTTTGTTGTTGCTGCTTCCCTCTTGGCTTTTCTTCGTCTTATTCCTCTTTTTCTTCTTTTGCTTCTCTCTTGGCTGCTACTTCGTGGATCACGGCTGATCGATCGATCGATCTCTCTCGCAGCAAAAAAAAAAAGAGTCAAGACACGACTGCTGCAACACTGAGGGAGTGTCACGACATTACCGTATCCGCTTGTCAGTGTGCCTCGCGTCTTTAAAAACAAATCTAATCAAAGTTTTACTGCACGTGTTTCACGGCATGCCGTCGTTAAGGTTATTGCTTCACCACACCCCTTTTTTCAATTAGGATAAATTGTATATCAGTAGGTCGGAAAAAAGTATGTGTGCTTTTTTTTCTATACTCTTTTCATCACTCAATTCTCTCTTGTTTTATAAATCAAATTTTAAAATTAAGTTTCTATCAGTTTCGGAAAGTTAATTTTTCGACAATGACTCCCTGAGTGCGAGACGTTGTCATACGTCAAAATGAAATTAAAATTTACTACCACGAGAAATGAACATAGAACCACACTTTCAGGCGTGAAATTTAAAAATGAAATTCAGTTTAAGAATGAAAAATGAACCGAAATCTATTAATTTTTTAATCAAATACTGCACTATTAATCATGTGGAATAATTTTCAAAATGAAAGCAAGTGTCAGATGCGTTTATATAAGAATTTTTCTGTTATTACATTTGGCTTATAACATACAAAAAAGGGGGGCTTCGTGCGACCAATAACCTTAATAAGTTCTCATATATCAAAACGAGAGAGGAGAAAGTCTCTAACTCGTTTGTTGCATCGATATACGATGACGTTAATTACGTCGTGTACTATAAATTATAATAGTTTGCAATTTGAACTCAATATTTCATACTTTAGGCGACACAATAATCCGATATTTCAGAATAAAGTTTTTTTTTCTGCACTTTTTGTTTTTGCTCTTTCTCTTTTCCTTTTTTTTATATAGAGTGACACGCGTCGATACGATTCGAGGGAGGCGTAAGCCTGTCGATAAAACGACACGGATGGTAAACGATGCACCAATTCCCAGTCTTCTATCTATATAATATGGGGACGAGTGAGAATGAACTTCGTATCTTATCGATCTGTGTACCACACCGCTTATCATGAAAACGTGGTGCTTTTAATCCCCCTAGTCTAGCGGCTCTTATCACTAAATTTTTTTTTTTTATCAATACGCGTTCACCGCGCGAATCTTTAGTATTATTCCACTCTCACAGCCTACGTTTTTGATTCAGGTGAAAAATAACTATTTTGTTTTTCACACTGTGTAAAAAAAATTTATTCAGTCGAATATTTAATAAATATTTAACTGATCCAATATCTCGAATTTATAAATATTAATTATAATTTGTAAAAAAAAACAGGGGAACTGATTCCAAAATGGTAGCTAACGAAAATATTATGAGTGGGTGATATTAATATATTCCTTTAAAAACGTTTTAAATTTCTTTTTTAAAGGTAAATTTTTGCGTAATTCATCTGGAATGACTTGATGATTTTCTCGAATTTTTTTTAAAGAGAGAAAGGGGACATTTTTTAAAACACCTCATTATATTCATTTAAAATGTCACACACATGTAAAAAAGAAAAGTAATTAAGAAAAAAGTTACGAGAAAAAGTAAATAAAAATAAAATAAACAAACTAAAAAGAAGAACAATCTAGTCAAGAAAACTTAATACATAAATTTGTTTCAACCTTCATCAATAATAATTGAGTAATATTTCTCTGAGTTTGTCGCGGAGGCGGAAACCAATAAGGCAAAAAAATTAAAATAAAAAACAAACCTCTATTAACTTTAAAGAAAAAAAAATATTATATAAATACATTTTTTTATATTATGATTTTTTTTATTGTTAAATTAAACTTATTAATTTAAAAAAAATTAAATATTTAAATCATTCTGTATATTATAATTATAGTAATTATATTTGAGTATTTAAAAAAATACTAAATTAATCACTTTTTTAATGTTTGTCAAATTAACGACTTTTACGTCATTTGAAAAATTATTTATACTTTATTCACTTCTGTTTTTATCCTGTAACTAATTTGTAAAAAGTTTATAAGTAACAAGCTGCATGTCATCATCGCTAATGGATTATATAATTATGTTCAGCGGTTTGTTTGGTTAAAACCTGAAATGCAAGTTAACGAAATTAAACTAATTAAAGGTGCTTGTATTTAAATTAATTAAAAAAAAATTTTCATTCTTTTTCTCGTTTACACATTTTTTACTTGTTTCTATTGTGTTTAAATATTTTTAATTGTCACGTAATCCTCTAAACTTTCAATTAATTTCGATTTTCAATATTACTTTTTTTTATACATTTTATTAATATTTATATTTCTGCCATTTCCAGTTTACTTTCGTTCGGGGTATAACATTATTAAATATAAAAAAAAAAATTCAAAATTTATCAACTTGTCCATAAGTAATTTACAAGCAGTTTATGACGAATGTGACACGTTTATATTTACTTATTACCATATAAATATGACCTAGTTTGATATTTACGCATTAATTGGTATTTTATTGCTTCGCAATAACATATTTCTCCTTTATTTTATTGGTACGATATTTAGAAATAACTTCATCTAATTTGAAAATTTTTTAATGTCACGCGGAATTACTTTCCATTAATATAAAGCAATCGCAAAAACTGTTAAATTTTCAACTAATTTCTTGAAAGTCGCAGTTATGATGTTTTATGCCACCAATAAATATTCCAATTTATTATAAACATTTCAAAACAAGTTGTATACAGTATATTTTAATTAATCAGGATTTTGTTTTGTAATTACTGAAAAAAAAAATGATGGAGTAGATAATCTGTTAATTTTACTCTTTAAGAGAATCAAAAGATTTACATTATGTAAAATCATTCTTAATCGTCATTAAAATCGATTTAAAAAAAAAGAAGTAACCCAAATAAACTTGGGATGGAGAGACTCGAGAGATGAAAAAAGAATTCCATAAATGGAAGTGACAAGTGCTTCTGACAAAATCACCTTCTCGAAGGTCACTGAATTAAAAAGGCATACTATATACAAAGTAGAAAAGCAAGCACACGCGACTCTGATTGGACCGGGAGCGTGAGTCGAACGAAAGTTCTCATTCTCGCTTTGGACCCATAAGAGAGAGTGAGATAAATATATACACTGCAAAACTCGGATAGTCCGACGATAAAAACTGTGTAAGGCGCCGGACAAAATGAAACTGGATAAGACTGTCAGAAATGTGTGTCTTGGGCAAAACTCTTTGCCAGCCGGTGCAGGTATGGCAATGTTGTTAAATGTTGCTCAAGGTGGTGGTATTGGTGAATGTAAAAAGGGGAATGGAAAAGAAGAGAAACGATGGTGGGTGAACGAGTTCATATAAATGAAAAAGTATGTGGGACGTCCAACTCTGGCCCGCGTAGGATTCAAAAAACCATGTTTCATGTATCTAATCATTGAATTTTAATTCCCCGAGTTCATGGAAATCAGATGCTCAAAGAGAGTTGACTTCATTCATACTGTGTGGAAAAGGACTTTCACAATACACTGACTAATCAATCAGATCATCGGCAGAAAACGTGGGGGATACCCACGATGAAATCATACTGCAATTTTAACTCAAGCTTATAATTATATTTATGTTCTATTCGTTTTAAAATTTTTTGTTTTGAAAAAAAATCTTTTACCGAACAAGATTCGAAGCCCAGTGGATAGAAATACTTTCAAAATAAACGGTGCCTTACGCACCATGACCAACCAAATTGCAGTAATTTGTTTATAGTAAATAATAATAATAAATACCTATTGAATGAAACATTGTATAATACGAAACCATCAGTGATTTCAAAACTGACTTTTTTTATCATGAGACACTTTCTCCTACACATAAAAAACTGATCCATTTAATCCAAATACGAAAGTTGTATAATTCAAACATCGAAATTCAATTAACAAAAAAAAAGTTTTTACGCAATTTGAACATAAATTTGAATGACAATTTATAAAATCTAAAAAGAAATTAATTTCCTTGTTGCATTCATTTAAAATTAAGTATTTCACTTTCTAAATCATCTCTCTCTCTTTCTCGTGAATTTTTGAATATATCTGAAATCATGAAACTTTTTTTCTTTTTCACTCAAAAATAAAACAAAAAATACTGTACTATGAAGCATGAAATAGAAAAACGAAAACGTCTCTAAAATCCTCATAAATCGTACGTCTATAAAATCCCGGAAAGAGTAAACATATAACACGTGTTCCACAGGGTCATAACAATCGCACAATAGTTGGTACACACGATTTTACGAGATTCACTAAACCGTCAAAATTTCTGTATTCATGTTCAAAGAATGGCCAAATCTTTTTCATAGATGAAAAAGAATTTGAACACATTGTATGATTTTTTTTCATTTTCATATTTTTCAATAAAAAAAATATATTTTTTGAAACATCAAAAAAAACAGAACATTTCACAATTTATTTAAAAAAAATAGAGTAAAAATTTAATAGATTGCATTAATTGTGGAAAAAAATGCGAAATATTATCAGAAGTATATATAACCAATGGAGAAACGGAAATGTTGTTATGCATATTGTTAGCAGTTTTTTTTATCACTCGTGTGATATAGAATGTCATATGAGAGAAAAATAAAAGGAATGCACACACGTAGGACATTACAAATTCCACAACTTTGGCTTGTGTCTCCTGTCGACAACATGAAGAATGAATGGCGTTCATATATACATATACGAAAGGAGCTCATTGATAAAACTTGTCTCTCTAGGATAAAATTTCGCAAGAGATGACTTAATCGAAAGAATAATAATGTATTTTTTTAATATTGAGGAAGGTCGTACGCATAGCTAAACGCCTTCGTTTAGTTTCAATCAGGTTTTACAGTCAATGAATGTAACAGTCATTATCTCATTAGTCCAGGGGGGAAAAATATATTGGCCCCTTGTCAAGTTAAAAGACAAGATAAAGTTACATATATGCGTACTTCCCAAGTTCTCATTTATATGTACAAAATTTATGTATTCTAAAACAACAAAATTTTCTTAAAAAATTATAAAAATACTTTTATTTTAAAATATTAACTCAATTTAGAAATTATCTTTAACAAAAATTCCGAAAGAAAAATTGAACAAAAAAGAGAATAAAAAGAAGATAATACGAAACAGGACGAGAAAATCAGTTGAGAATTCTTGACTACGTGCAGAAT